TATTTATTTCTATTTATATGGATTGAAAAACTTCAATAAATTGGAATTTACATGGACCTACTAAAAAATGTACCTTAAGCATTGTTCTAAATTCACAGTGACAGCAAGCATAGGAAGACAATAGAGTATCTTGATGTTAAAGTCAAGATAATTAATGCAGAAAAATCTCGGTGTCACATTTATCTTTATTTGCTGGAAGCACAAACCTTAAGTATGATTTACTGTGCTTTTGTATTGATTTCAAAGTTGTTTCCAATTGTATGGTTTAGATGAAAACTGTATGTATTTTTCTGGATACATACAATTTAGCCAAAAATTGTTCTTATATTTTTCCTCCATAGGTTAAAAAAAATTCCATAGGTACATTTATTTGTTCAGTTCAGTGAGAGTGGTTTTGCTTGTATTCAAAATACCTTGTCAATATACATTAAGAATATTTTGGTGATGCAATTTTTACAATAACTCTGGGTATTTTTCATAATTTAAGCTTCTTTCACTTTAACAAACATTCTGATTTAAAGATTAACAGATAAAATATTAGGGAGAAAATTAAATGTAAATCAAAAGGAATCGGGGTGAGAAAGGAGCTCTTTAGCTCTCTAAGCTCTATTCTTCCTCTCATTGAATATGTAATGAACACTGTAAGAGGATGTATGTATATGTGTGTACAAATAAGTGTGAGTGAGTGAGTGTGTGTGTGTGTGTGTTTGTTTGTGTATGTGCACGTGCATGCACACACGCACATGACCATGGCCTGTTCAAATGTCACCCAGAGGTAAATTTAATGGTCACTTTTAGAATCGGAGTTGACATTGGATCCCAAGTCCATTAATTCCTAACCATGTATTCTATGTAGTTACTGTATTGTTTTTCTATTGTGTTAAAAAAAAAAGAAACCTTTATGGTTTTCCACTGGTGGCATGCTGTCTGTTTCCTGCCTACTGCTCACACTGGCAGTATGGCAGCTTCTGGTCCTAGAGCTTTGTGGTTTCCATGACAACGCAAGCATGTAGCATATTAGCAATAACTACCCATTTACAGAGCATTATTTTACCTTAATGAGCCAGTTCATTTGTCTAATGGCTATATACAAGGTTTAAATTTCAATATATCTATAAATGTGTGTATACTACATATACACATTTAGTTGAAATTTTTCTGGGCCAAACTGTGCTGTCTTTTCCATCTTTTTTCCTCCCTCCCTCCCTTCTTTTTTGCCTTATGATGAATTTGTTTGAAGGGCATTTCTTCATGAGCAAAGGCTTGGATATATATATTCCTTTCTTTATGTGAAATGGGTAATATTGTTCTCTGAGGAAAGTTTCACAGTGAAAACCAGTCTCTTTGTGACCCACTATGTGTTTTTTTTTTAATCACTCTTTCATGAGTTGAATTTTGCTGACCATGTTTATAATTTGTCTGTTCAATTAATGACGATTAGTTGATGTCATCCTTTGCACTGCTGAAGTGAAATCTTGCTTATTATTTAATAAGCTGATCTCAGTATAGGCAAAGAAACACCTAAATCAAAATGACTGGACAGACTTCATGTGTTCTGTAAACACTACAAATGTTCTGTGAGTGTGTTTTATGTGGTCGTGGAGTGAAGCTTCACAGGGGCAGAGGGTGATTCTTTATTTAGCAAGTTTGGAGTGAAGATAAAATAAAACAAAATAATATGAATGTTAAAGCATCACAGAAGAACTGTAGGAGTCAAAATTTATACTAAACTGTCTTTAAAAAAACAAGTGTCTATAATATACCATGTTTTATTATTTAAAATCATTTTCTTAAGTTTTTTGTTCAAAAAATAAAAATTTGAATGCAATCAAAACATGAAAAAAAGGAACAGTTTGTTTTGCATCACAGTATGAGGTCTATTCTGTCATGGCAGGGAAGTCAAGGCAGCAAGAGCCTGAAGTAGCTGGTCACATTTCATCCACAATCAGGAATCAGTGAGTGACCCCCAGGGCCTGGATCAGTCTCTCCATACAGTCCAGTATCCTTGTGCAGGGATTGGTCCTACCCACATTTGATGAGTCTTCACACATAAATTAACCTAAGGAAGAAAAGCCCTTTACAGGCATGCACAGAGGCTAAGTAATCCCTCATAGGTATGCCTGGAGGCTTATCACCTCAGTGACTCCAGATCCTGTTAAGTTGACAGTTAACAGTAATCATAACCCTTATATATTTTCCTTGTACTTTAGTTTCTTTACTTGCTAAAAAAAAAAGAAAGAAAGAAAATATAATACAAAGGGTTGTATATGGAGTTACTCGTAAATATACAAAACATTGAACCTGCTGGGCACAGGCTACTTCCCTGTCCCAATTTCCACAAATGATCTCCAGTATTTTGGACTTAGTCCAACTTAGCAGCCTGTTCTTGCTCTGACTTTGCCTGAAATGTTTCTCCCCAGTGTGGCTCAGCTAGATCTCTCATCTTCTTAATGTAAATTACAGAATGTCACGTCCTTGTTGACACCCTCACTATCCTTTCAATACTGTAGTCTGCGTGTATTGTAGCCAACATTGGTCAGCGTAGTATTTTCTTTTTTCCATAATTCTAATCATCATCTAATTTACAAGTTACTTATGTTTTTACAGTCATTGTTCATTACTGCTAATGCCACTATTCTAGAAAGCAAATATAATGACAGGATTATTTTTTCTACTTTGGCTGCTACTGGAATATAAGGAGTAGCAGAGAACATTATGCTTAGTAGGTTCTTAATAATACATTTAAAATGAACT